CTCAGTTTCATAAGAGAAAGTAGTGCAAGCTTTCTGGGGCCAAATCCAATTTTATACTTTTGTGGAACTGCTTTGGTGAGATTCTTCACATTTCCGGTTTCAACTTTCAAAGGCAATACGTTGGTCGGATTCTTTGAACTACTCGAGCAGCTTTCCGCCTGCAAGAATGGTTTCGTTTATCTGTACTGTCTCACTGTAATACTTACCACTGATGTTGGGTGAGTTGAAATTAGAATTGCTGAGGCTGGCATGGTATCTTGCATTGGTTCATTCCGGTCTTTTCTTTGGAAAACATCCTTCAGCCGTTGAGTAGTCATTTTATACCCCTTCTTCGTAGTTGTGAAGTACTTGGAGAATCGAGATTTAGGAGGAGTATAAACCTCTTTCTTCTTTTTCAAGTTTGTCACAGAAGATTTCTTCACTAGCTTCTTACTAGTGTTTGCCTTCACTGGAGTAGTTTGCAAGGTACTCGTGCCCGACGGAATGTGTGGAACTCCGTTGATCAATTCACTACCGAACAATGGGAATGTGTCTGTGGGATTGCCACTGAAGTAGTCTGCACTCTCCACTGTCTTCTTCAGACTGCCTATCGACGCCAGAGATGCTTTCATTCGCATTCTTGCTGCTTCAATTCCATCATTTTTGGAGGGATTTATTTGACTGAGAATAGCATTTCTGGATGGACTATCCAAACTATCAGCAGTGGAGTTGAACATATCCAGTCGGCATGGAGATGAATTAGTCGATAATGCTCCCGCACTTTCTCCTCTCATTCCAGGAGGTTGCAAAATAGAAGTGTTCACTGAAGAACATGGAGCTTCGCTGTTTAGCTCGTCACGGAACAATGATGATGTAGCTGTAGAAAGCGGGGCGGTGAAACTTTCCATATCAAGCTCATTTCTGAAGTCTTTTTCCGCGAGATTCGTCACGTTGTCGTTGGCTGAGGCCAATTCTTTCATCTCGACGAGACTTTTGTTTGCCAGAAATGCTTTGATTCGAATTATAGCAGCTCCAATTTCCTCTGGTCTGTGTTGACTGATTTGAAGTGCAGTTTTATTCCAATTTGCAGCTTCGTTGGAAGTTACGCATCCGTCTTGAAGGAATGAACCAGAATCGGCAGCAATCTGGGATGTGTTATTGAAATCCTCAGTCACAACGGCTTCCGGATCTGTTCTGCCAACAAAAGACGATGATGTGTTCGGTTTTTCTGTTGATTCATCGCTTGCAGCATCCGAGAGAATGTTGGCTTCCGGATTGTTATGGGTATCCGTTTTGAATGGATTCTTGACATATTCCGTCAAGCCCATTTCAACATAATCGATCTCCGGTTCATTGCTCGGGATATCCTCTTCTTCGGGTAAACACTTCATAGAACTTGATGTAATTTTGGTGAAAAGTGCAATCCTATAGTTCCAGTATTTCTCGATACTTTGCTTGGTTTTGTCATCCTCGGTCAATTTTGGACGGTAGGGAACTTTTTTGGTGCCAAATCCTCTGGGTGGTGCTTTGGATCCACTGGGAGAAGTATTACTTGCATCCTTTGCGTCCTTCCAGATGATAAGATTCTTTGGAACATAACTTCCCGGCATGGCAAGTTTCTTCGAAGCGAAATACGTTCGCAATCGTTTCTCAGCTTTGACATGATCTCGCTTGCCAGCAGGACTGATTGCTTCAATAGGGAGACGGGCTTCTTTCAGAACACTCTCCATTTTTCGATCTTCCGATTTGATCACAGTTGGGCAATTGCCATTTGAAGAAGGTGCACTATTTGCTGGTGTTTCAGTGACATCGGCCTGAAAATCAAATTCATTAATTACGAATGCGTTATATTCGACTTGCCTTTGAAGTCTCGGTCGTGTCGGACATGCCATTATGCCCAGTCACCACCTGAGGCTGTTGGGAAGACGTTTGATCGTTAGGTTTGCTTTCACAAGTGATGGAAGAAATGTCGTCAGTTGTGCTGGAATTGTCTGTGGATTGCTGACTCTCGTTCAGTTCATCAGAGGTGGATCGCTTCTGGAAAAGAAAACGAATTGAAATGCTCGAAATCGGAAAAACGTGACATTATTTCATTGTATATTTTTCCGTATATTCAAAAAAAATTCAAGCGGCAGGAAAATAACAAAAAGGAGAGGATGAAAAGAGGACAGTTGAATGATAAACTTATTGATGCGATGAGTTGGAGGGATAGGTCTTGACCAATATTAAATGCAGAATAGTTTTAGCCTATGCTCACCAAAAATCATCAAAAGAAGAAGAAAAAAAGGTTAGCCCACGGGGGGACTCGAACCCCCATGCCCGGTTCCGGAGTCCGGTGCCTTATCCATTAGGCCACGCGGGCACAGTTACGAAATGTTCGAAAGGGCTTTAAATACTGGAAACTGGGTAACACCGGCCGGGCGCCGCGGCCGTTTGCTTTAAGTTGGCCGCGCATAACACAAACCGGACCGTCTTTTCACCAAAATTAGCCGTGTTCTTTTTGTTCCCATCGCTGGTAAGCAAGAATGACGGAAAAATTTTCCTATATTTTCCTATATCCTGAAAAAAATCTCTACTAACATCGCATCAAGAAGAACCCTAGTAGGTTTGCTCACATACTGATGTGTCACAAAAAGTTCTATCACCCTTAATGAACCGCCTCGCTAAGATCGCTTACATGCAAAAAAGCTAGCACTCGGTGAACATTATTGTCAATTACACAAGTTCAACATTATCAGTTTTCTGTCTGTTTTGGTTTGTATCTAATGAACCAACAGTACTCACCTTTTTGTGCTTTCTCAACAAGCGCGCACCCAACCGTCTGAGAAATCCAGCCTTTTTTGTTTCTGGGCTTGCTGAGGAACTGCTATCTCCAGACTTTGAACTTGATGAACGATCGGCAATCTCACCACTGATGTCGGACCAGTCTTCACTACTAGCGGAGAGGGAGCTGTCGACTGCATCGAACATTTGGGAAGAGTCTTCGAACCAGAGACGTGGTTTCAACGGAGATCGCTCCTGAAATGAGTTTTTTGCTTGAACCAACTATTTTTGTGAGTTCTACCTACCTTCTCCTTCTCATCAGTTTCACTACCTTGCTGCGGAAGTATCTGATGGGGAATTTCATCCTTTGTGACGTCTAAGTGGCGGCTACTTTCGAGTTTCAGGTTGTCGGAAGAAGGATTCTCGACGTCGCCTGTGCTGTCCCCGATCACTGGATCATTCTCAACAGTAGCGGATATTGTGTCAAATAAGCTTTGATCAACGCTCTCCGGCAAAGTTTCCTTCTGGAAATCAAAAGTTGAATAAATGAACTGGAAAGTGATAACTCACCAGAACCGAGATGTCTTCCTGTTTGTCAGACTTGAACAAATCAGCATACCGTTTCAACTTGAGAGAATTTGGTTTGGCAGCAGTCGTTTGATGTTTCGCATTCAACAAATCACTTGTCGGTGGGGGTTGCGGAGTCTCTGTTGTCGCCCCTTTGAATAACGATGGTATTTCCAGTGAAAAGTTCATTGGGTTGAAGAGGTCCGATGGCATCTCCTTGTTCGAGGGCATAGTTTGAGATCGGAGAAAGAAACCTAAAAGAAACGATTACAAAGATAAAATGACGGCAAAAGGTTGAATACGCGATGAGGAAAACAAGCGATAAACGGGAGAAAAGAAATCCCTGAGCAAAACAAAACTGTTCTATAATTCAACGGTTACTTTTTGATAAAAATGGAGTAGTTGAGCAGTATTAGAAACTGAAATGCTAAAAAAAGCAATCGTTTGTAAGCAAATCGGCGAGGAAAATGATGTAGTTTTCAATCAAGTCGCACAAGAAGAAAAACGAATTGAGGAAAATAAACTGAAAATTCAAAAAAAAATTAATCGGGGTGGGTAGCCAAAACAGTTTACTTATTTGTGGAACCGAAAAAAAAAATAGGAAATCGAGTAACCACGTTTCGAAAAAAGTAAAACAAATTGTCGCAAAAACGAGAGAAAAACAAAAACAACATAAATGACTCACCGTACCCCTTTCTGCATGTTCACCGCGGTGAACACACTATGACGCGCAACTGTTGTGACCAATCAGAAAAGGGGGGGGGGTACGGTGCGCGGAGAGAAAAGGGATGTGATAAGGAACGAGAGAGGAGAGGAAAAAAACAAGAATCAAGGAAAAATGGAAGTATGAAATCAGCTGAAATTCACTTTCAGCAACGTAAACACGTCAGTATAAACTGTTTTTTTCATGCTGCAGTCGTTCAATATTTCTTGTTTGTTCTAAATGATTTGTAGTCTCTCTACTGAAACTTTTCTTCTTGTTCAGAGAGAAATAGACTGGGATCAATTCTTTATCAAAAGAAATATAATTTGTTTTGTTAATGCACTCATCGAGTCTCAGACCGCTTTCTATTACGAATTTTCAGTGATCTGAACTTGCTAGAATTTATAATTTTCTATTTTCAACAAGTCAATGTCCAAAAAACAAAAGAAAAAATCCAATAGAACTACGCACCCAGAAAAACTCTTTCCATACTTTTGCCAAAAAAAGAACATTTCTTCTATTGTTCACATACCATTTCTCAGTGATCATTCTCTTCTTCGCCTATTTTAATCCAGCTGCTTTTTCCATTTGATCGAACGAGTTGGAAAAACTTTAGAGAAATATTTTTTCTCAAATGATAACCGTAGAAATCATTTTTGTAAGTTTTGTTTCGATATCGTATTTATAATTACCCCAAAACAGTGAAAGTATTGAAGAAAATCCATCCTTAACGTGTTCAAAAGAATAAATCTAAAAAGAAAAAAGATTAGCCCACGGGGGGCTCGAACCCCCAAGCCCAGTTCAGGAGTCCGGTGCCTTATCCATTAGGCCACGCGGGCACAGTGATGCCACGTTCGAAAGGGCTTTAAATACTGGAAACTGGGCGGCGCCTGCCACATACAGTATCACTGCAAGCTTTCAGCTCAAGTGCAAATGTGAACTTCGGATTGATCACTATATAAGTTCCAGAATACAGTGATCCGGGGGTGCCCGCGTGGCCTAATGGATAAGGAACCGGACTCCGGAACTGGGCTTGGGGGTTCGAGCCCCCCGTGGGACAACCTTTTTTCTTTTTAACTAGGTTAGGTCAGATGCTCATTTTGCCCATAACGTTCTTTCTGCCTTAATCATATACGTTGTTGAAAACAAGTACGAGCAAATGAATTATTGTTCGAACGAACATTATAGTCCGTATTCTCGTTTGAACGTCTATCCTTTTTATATCAGTGTGGTATCGGAGACTAGAATCATAGTCACACGTTTTTCGGGGTTCTTCTTGCGCGTGCACCCTGTCGTCTGACCTACTGCGTCCTCTGTGTGACTGGGATGACTGAGAAACTAGTGTTTCCGCACTTTTCCCTTGATGAAGATACGCAATCTCACGCACTGACA